GCGTTCGTTTAGAACAACTTTCTTGAAGATTTTAAGTCCAGCTTCATCTCCAGCTTGGGCATGTTAAATGCAGATCTTCATAGGAGTACTGGTTTTTATGTTCAACAAACTTCAAGCAGTCTTCTGCAGGACTTCTAAAAGTTTCAAGTAGTTCTGAAACTCTGTAAAAACCTGGTAGCTGCTTTTGTAGAATGAGAGAACTCCAACTAGTATCTGTGGATAACGTCCATAATTTGGAGCTGAAGGATGCTTTAAAGCCGACCTTCTTTAACTCTTTCCACTTGCGAACCCCTTTCCCCCCGAGGAAATTGTTTTGTGATCCCGGATCTCTCTCTCTCCCCCTGCCCCCAGACCCCCCAGCATCAGTCGGTTGGTCGGTCAGGCAATGTCTCTCTCTTCCCCCCCCCCCAGCGTCGGTCAGTGTCTCGGTTGCTGAGAGAACTTTCTGTAGTACGGTATGTACTGAGAAAATGACACATAGAAGCTGATTTGTTACTGTAAGCAAGTTGCTTCTTTTTTTGCTGCACTTTTCATAAGGCAGAGTGATTGTGTGTGTGTGCAATAAAATCAAGGTGTGTGTGTATGTAGAAATCCCAGGAACATTGCAAGGCTCTTTTGTTTTATGCTGTTAACCTAGATGAATTCTACTGATTTCTATTCTCTACTCCGGGTTTGTATTTCTCTCTCTTCTTCTGCTCATAGCAGCACGTGTGGAATCAGTCCCGTATTTACATTTTCATTCCAGTAATCTGGATCTGTGTGTTTCCCCCCCACAGATGGTTTGAGTAGTGCTGGATGTCAAACACCTCATTGATGTTTGATAATTACTGTATGTTTATATTGCTCAAGGATGCTATAAAAGGATCAAAGGGAAGTTTTTGTTCCACTTTCTTTTGTCTGCTTGCCTCCCATCGGCCCCTTTTCCAGAGAAGATTGTATCATTTTATTCTGGCTTTGCTGATTTTGGGTCGGGATTTTGGGTCACCCAATCTACCCATTTTAGAACACTGAATTTGTTTTTAGCGGTTTTTTGACCTATGCCAGTGTACAAAAAGATAAGGAACTGGATTACTAATTGGTGGCCCTTGGGGGGTTTTCTCACTTTTCTGATGTCTTTCTCTTTGGTCTCTTGGGTAAACTAGTCCTGGCCGCATTTAGTGATGAGGAAGCTTTATATCAAGGGATTTGAGGCTTTATTTTGATGTGCTAGGGGTTCATGAAAGCAAATGAAGTCCCATCTAGTTTTATTAGGTCAGGCAAGTCATAATGCTGTTGTGGGCTACTCACAACTCTTGGTTAGTGGAAATACGGGTTTAAAATCTGGAGGTTGTGTACCTTGTTAGTACCTTGAAAAAGAGCCAAAGTCTAATTAAAAAGGAATATATTTGGGCTGATCTAATGAAGAAGTTTCGCATTTTCACTCAGAAATGTAAATATTCAGTTCTCGAGTCAAGTGCAGATGAAATGAGTCGTCAGAATGTACTTTTCAGATGATTGGATTATTGAATTAATGTTAACACTAGCCACATTAAAACTGGCCTCATTGTTTGGAAATACCAATCTGTTTAAATGACTACAACCAGATATCTCTTACTTACTTCCATGACATTGATGGAATATGTAATATATAATACAGAACCTGCCACCCTGTGTGGCAATGGCAATGCTGTTCTGAATTCAGAAGCAGTGCAGCATCATTGCCACACCAATACAGAAGCTGCATTAGGTGAACTTCACTGGGAGGCTCGACAGGTATTTTGTGGGACTTTACAGGGGGTCTCAGAGAAATCTGTAAGTGCAGATGCATTTAGGGCTTGTTCACACCATGTCTGGATCATGTCCAGACCAGAACTGTTTGTTCCTGGATCAAAAAAGCATCTCAATGTATTCCTATGGTATTTCTGGGCTCTGTTCACACCAGAGCAGTCCGTTCCGGACCAGACAGAAAAATACTGCTTGTCTTATATATTTTTTTTCTGGTCTGGAATGCACTGGAACACATGAAAAACGCATGCAAACGCACTGGACCGCACCTGAAAGCCCATTTTAAGCTAACAAAAAGGGCACCAGAATGTTGCAAAAACACGGCAGAAAGCAATGCACAACGTTCCAGATCTGGTCCAGAAAATGGTGTGAACCTGGCCTTACTACTATGTGCTGCAGCACATATATTTTTAATGGGAGGCCACAGTTCTACTTTACCTTAAATTTTGTTAAAACTATTTTGTAATTTCATTTTTACCTGCAGTTTTGCTTTATGTTTTATTTGCAGAGCACATTACAACATTAAACTGTAAATTTCAATAAAAACTGGAACAATGGAGTGTTGTAAAACCTGTGACGAGTTGTGTGAGTTGAATTGCCACCAGCAGTGGCGTCACAAGGGGAGAGCGGCTCGCACCTGGGTGACACTATTGGAGGGGTGACACCAAAATGACAGTCATTTTGGTGTCACCCCCTCTAAAAAGTCGGGCACTCGGTCATGGACCAAGAGCCCGACAGCTGCAGGAGAGAGGAGGGGACCCGGCGGCATACCTCATCCCGCCGGGTGAACGTCCCCTCCTCTCTCTGCTGGCATCCATCACTAAGATAGCCACCAGCAGGCGTCAATTAGATCACCGTGCATGCGCGCTGACGTCACTGCGGGGTGTCACCCGGTCTCCGCTCCGGGTGATACACGGCCTCGGGATGCCCCAGGCTCCCAGCTTCTGTTTCTACCATTTTTCCCCTCAAGGATCTTGATATCCTCCTTAGTGTTTCCATGCTGATGGTTATAAACCAAGAGCGGGAATCTCACTTTCTCTGGTGAACTTTCATTTGTGTCACAGAAGTTGGTAACTGTTGGATTCAGAAAGAAGTCTGTGATACGGTAGTAATGGACTCCATGGTGGGCTATTGTGGTGAGCTATAAAGTGGATATCTCACTCCTCCGAAACATGTAGGAATCTGGTGAGCTGTCCAGGTCCATCTAATACGAAGATATATATTTAGAGAAGACTTCACTTTGTACCCACTCAGTCTGATATTCCGTCTTATCTCCTTTTGTTGGCTTGCTCTCATGTTTGACTTTGCCATGTCTGTTGTAGTTATTGTCAGCGTCCATGTGAGCTTGCTTTCCTGCTCCCCAAGATTAGCGTGTACGTATTGCGGTGAAAGGTGCATGGCTGTATAGCATCCTTTGTTTTCTGGAGTTTTAATTCCCAAGATTAGGATTTTGTGGTTCTCTGCATTTTCTTGTGATGAGCGGTGAGTTGGACAGTATCTATTGCACAGCCAGGATGTCCTTGTAGCGGATGCTTTGTATGCTCTCCAAAAAAGATCATATCACATCCGTATCTGGGTCAGACTTAACTGAACATGAGCCTGCTGCTGCCTGACCCAGACACAACGAGTGATCTTTCAGATGGAGATGAATTTTCCCCAAAAATCGCTAAATCATTGTCACCAACACTAGCATGTTCAGATAATCTATAGTTAAATGTTCCATCCACGCCATTTTTTTTTGATTAGTCGCGATACAGATGTGCTGTTAGGAAAGCAGCACAGTTGTTTTGTTTAGCATTTGTTGCGGAGTTAATAGGAAAACTGTGTAGCAGCCAATAAGAAGGATGCTATGATGCTATCTTGGACTGCTTGGAAATATTTAGGTCTATGGCTACTCCAGCTGTGGATTTGGGTCCTGGCAGAGATTGCTCTCTTGTGGGCGTGTATGGAGTGACCGAGGAAAAGGGGATATTTTGTATCCAAGCTGTTTGGCTTTGGTATGCACACAGATTGTTGGGCGCATGAAAACTTGAATTCTTAACACTGCACAGTGTAGCTGACTAACTTTATAAAAAGGAGAAGGAAAAGTGTGTTGCCCGTAGCTACAAGATTCTTCTTCTTGCTTCTATGACACATTTAAGATCAAATTTGGGGTGGGTAACGCTCTCACTTTCCTGTTTTCAGAATTTTGGCCCGCTTTATGGTATAACCGATTCCTTACCTGGATCTAAGCCTTTTCTTATTTCCCACGTTTTCCCTCTATGACATTACAATAATAAAATCATGTTTGTTATCTGGCCATAGTCCAACCTTCTCTGAGGATCACTGAGCGACCGCAATGTGCTCTGTCTAACCTATAACAATATCTAAGTGAGTGGTTATCCAGACAGCATTTGCATCTGCTCAGTTATAATTATTTTTGACAAAGGGTTTCCCGTTATTAGCTTAAAAAAATGTTTCAGCCAAGAATCCAGTGCCCAGTCTTGGCATGTACTCCAGTGGCTTCAACAGCAGGATGCCGCCAGGCATTGAGTACACTGAACAAAAAGCCGTAGAGTCCTCTGAGTTCGCATAACAGCTCAGGCTAGGGGGTTCTAGAAAAATGGCACACTCCGTGCCCAGCGTGCCTTAATACAATGAGATCATTACTTCTGCTGTGTCATTATTGCCCAAAAAATACTTTGGTTTTGACCCCTCTGTCAAAGCTGATTTGTTTTAGGAGCCCCAACACGTGTATTTATCAGTGTTCTGTTTTGTTCACTACATTAACTGTTAGCCATGACTCGATTGGAGGGTTTTGGGGGTTAAATGTTCAACAACAGAGCCTGGGGTCTTGTGTAGTTTAGTATTTAATATTCAGCATAACTTAGAGTTCACCTTGATGATCTCGATTAAAGAATCTCTCTGATGTCTGTACCCCAAGGCTCTTGAATTGCTGCATATTTTCATACATACCACAAAGGGGTTGGCGCTGATTTGGTGTATTTCTATAGGAAACAAATGGAAGCAAAACTAGGGCATGAAATAGAAGGAAGTCAAATGCATTAAATGCCCCCTTTGTTGGGTCTGCAGGGCCTTTTAAACATTTGGCTATGCTAAACTTTTCATATTTCTTCACCCTGTATATGTCATAAATAATTGTGTTAAATTACATTTATAGTTTTGTTCATATGTCACTTACTGAAGTTCCAGTGACCTGCTCTTCTAATGGTTTGTTAATATTCTGTTATTTTCAGATGCCTTTGTAAATAGTCAGGAATGGACACTAAGCCGAGCTGTGCCGGAGCTCAAAGTGGTGAGTACCAGGAGAACTGCTACTTTTTTGTTTGCTATTAAACAGAACTTGAGTTTGGTTAATGTATGTTATTAAAGGTCATACAGATTTCGTATGACTTCATGATCAACCAAAGCTGCAATCTCTCCATAAGCACATACATTTTATGGCCAAAAAGAGTCTGGAAATCTGACCTTTTCATTTACACTATATCAGGGCTTCTTACACTTTTTTCTCGTGACCCCTTTTCACCCGAGGAAATTTCGACGTGAGCCCAGGAGTCTCCCCCTCCCACACACGTCGGTTGTAGTCTCTCTCTGCCTCCTCCCCCATTGGTCAGTGTCCCTCCCCCCCAGCATCGGTCGGTGTCTCTCTCCTCCTGCTCCCCCCCACCCAGCGTCGATCGGTGTCTCTCTATTGCTGTCTGTCTCTATTACCACCACCACCACCACCAACAACTAACCCCCTTCCCCCCTCGCCGAGATGTCTGCTGGAAAAAAACTAACCTTTCCCCTCCTGCAGCTGTGTTCTGCTCCTGCCTTCTCTTCGGTGCTTCTGCCGGGGAATAAAAAAGTTCCACCCCCTGAAAATTTTTTTTTGCATGGACGTACTCAGGAAGGTACTGGATGTACCTCACTGATGGCGGCCCTGGGGATTCAGAGTTTTAGTCGCGACCCCCCCATATTCTTTTACCCACACTTTAAGAAGCCCTGCACTATTTGACCGAAAGTGTGTGAACACCCCTCCAAATATTAAGTTCAGGTGTTTCCAGTGAAGGCTACTGCTAATGCTACAGCACATAAGGACCTTGAGGCAACAGTTTGAGGGAAGGCCTTTTTCAGTTCCAGTATGGCTGTCCCTGTGCACAAAGCCAAGTACATAAACAATATGGTGTGACCAGTTTTGTTTGGAGGAACCTCAGTGGCTTGCACAGGGCCCTTTCTTTAACCCTTCAATAGAAAAAATTTAGGTAAATAGGGCTTTTGAGGCATCAGGTGACGGAACCAAGAGATTACAACGTCCTTAATAGCAAAAACGTTTTCTTTATTAAGTACAAAAAGTTAAAAGGCCATAAAATTTAAATATGGATACTTATCCATATTATCCATATTTTAATTTTGTGGCTGTTTAACGTTTTGTACTCAATAAGAAGTTTTTGCTATTAAGGATGTTGTAATCTCTTGGTTCTGTCACCTGGTGCCTCAAAAGCCCCATTTACCTACATTTTTTCGATTGATTGATTACTAGGGGTGTGGCACCAATTACTCAGGATTTGTTCACGACAACTTGTTTCTTACTTTAACCCTAATGAACACCTTTGGGATGGAATGAAACTCCAACTGCAAGCCAGGTCTTCCCATCCAACATCAGTACCTGACCTCACCAAATGCTTTCTATGCTGAATGGGCACAGATTCCCATAGACACACTCAAGTCTTGTGGAAAGTCTTTGCAGATGCATGGAGCCTTTATTAGGCACAAGGTGTGTGTGGTGGTACAAAACAGAATATCAATGTACATGATTTTGGAATGTTATAGCCAAAAAGCTCATACCGGTGTGATGGTCAGGTGCCCACAAACTTCCACTTACAACACATGGCCTTAAGATCAAATATGTTCATATTCAGAAATACAGTGGGGGGAATTTATCAAAACTTAAGCAGTTGCCTATGGCAACCAATCGGCTTCCCTCTCCAGTTTGTTCAATTAAGATTTGAAAATGAAATGCGGCTGCTGATTGGCTGCCATGCACAGCTGCTCCAGATTTTGTCTGCCCCAGTTTTGATAAATTCCCTTCAGTATGAATATGATTGACCAACAAACAAGAGGCCCTAAAGAAAGGTGGACACATACGTGCTGCATTCCCTTAGTTTGTATGAGGTAAATACTTTACTAGGGATTAAATGAAAATTCAGTCATAAAAGTTTAGCTATGTGGTTCTTCTAGGCCACAAAGGTTAAAGGACATCTATGGTCAAAAACTAGAAATAGATAGTTCTATGTTTAATTTCTATAAGTTCTTTGCCACTCCTGATGACCATATCAATCTGGAGGTTTGTAAACTTATTGAAGATGCCCATAGGATGTACTTCCTCAATGCACTCAGCCCTGTGAATATGCACATCCTTGTGTCACAACCTTCCTACTGAACTATAACCTCAATGTCTAACCAATGTAACATTATCATTGCTTGCTGGAAGCAATGCATTATAGCCCATAACGTGTAGTCTTGAAGAATCAAGATTGCATCACATCAAGCAGCAGCAAAAAAAAAAAAGATGCAAAGCACACTGGGAGTTCAAGAAATTGTCGAAAGTGATGGGCAGGCGGAAGGCAACACTCACTACATAAATGGAATGTTTTCAAGTAAGCTTTGATTGCATTATGAAAATAACTAGTCTGTATTCCTATTACAATGCTGATGTTATGAAAGGATAATATGTGCTGGGACTTCAGAACTCCTTTAACATACATAGATGTGGACGTTTGACTTACATTATAGTAACCGATGTTTGGAAACGACTTTCCTTGTGTTCATAAATCGAGGCCCATTATCTTGTAACTGTTAACTGAATCAGAGGCTGCTGTGTTTCTGAAACGTTCAATACAATATTTTGTCAGCCTTCCAGTAGTTTATTTAATTTTATTTATGTAGGCCTTTTTGCAACACGTTCCCTTGTTACATCTGTAAAGAATTACACATTCTCGCCGTTGCACAGCCTTTCTTGCGCTATTTCATGACTTGTAGTTGGAAAAGCTGACATAATGTTGCAGGATTTTGAAGCAAGTCATACAGTCTCGAAGCCAAAGCAAAGAGCTGATTCCATAGAGGCCTGTGACAAAAACAGCTGGACCACTGTAGTTTTCCCTGGGTTTCCGAGGTCTGCCGGTGCAGATGAGAAGCTATCTGATTAGCTGTAGTCTTGGAGGGGCTTAGTTACGGTTCCTATAGTTCCTCAGTGGGGGGTTCTGAGCTGTGAGACCCCTTCTATTCGGGAGGTGAGGGTGTGGACAGGTTTTCCTCTTTCTTTCTGGAAGTGGTAATCTCTCTTTTATGGGCCACTTAAAGTGAACATGTGTGGACAGAAATACAATTGCTGATTGTTGCCTTGGCTTTTAAAGCATATCTCAAGCCATTTTATTTATTAGTTTTTCGATAGAGTGGTTTGGGACCCCTTTCAGGTTTTTTTGTTAGAAAAGCTACTTCTATAAAGAACTCCTGGAATTTTTTTTAAATTAACTCTTGCAGTGGGACTACCCAAGGATTACTGCAAGGGTTAAGTGCTCATTTTGGTCTAGGGACAAAACAAAAAAGAAAATATACTCCCCTTAATCCGGTCTAGCAGCCAACTACAAGCACTATTTTTGCAGATCGCACTGGACCGGAACGCAGACACTATTGTGCCTGTGTTCTGGGTGCGGGCGATCGCACTGTGGACGGGGTGGCATAGCTGCGGTGCCATTGACTTCAATGCATCGCCACGCCCCCTCCCGCCCCTGAACGCAGGGAGTCACCCCACTTGCGTTCCAGTGCCTTCAAGAGGCCGCAGACTCTGTGGTGTGAACCGGCCCTAAATTTTTGGATTTTATGGATACCGGTCTTGTGCGTCTGATTGCAGAAGTATCGTTTGAGAAGTCGGAGCACACTGCAGCCTTCACCTGGTACATACATTGATTTGCAGTGGGAGGTGGAATTAGAACGGTGAATTCTGGCGTTTTTGGGCCCAGACCTCTGAATTCAAACCACAACAGCAACAGGAGGGAAATCTTTTAATGGGGCCTTTAGATATACTGTAAAGATGTAAGCTCCTGGGTTGTCATGGTCAGGTCAATGACATTTGTGAAGTGTGGATCACAATGACAGGCCTAAAAATGGCACCAAAACCAAATCGGCAATGGTGGCCCCCTATTTCAATCCCCTGTATAGCAGTAAGCTTTATCTCCTTCCTGCACAGTTCAAATAGGACGAGTCACCTGTCAAGAAGTATGACCAAAGCATGAAATCCCAGAGATTGAACTTTGCTTTTCCCCCAAATGTTACAGATTCACTGTTATAAAAATTACCATTTACCAAACAATTATGAATAAAATAAGCACTAATTGCTTGTTACAGACAACAAACCAACCCGCTCATGCCTCTTCTACACGACGTTCACATTCATGTTGTTCCTGAACTGTCCTGTTCCTTTGTTCTATTGCTCCCAGGCTCTGCATCCTGGCTGTCATCCTCTTGTGTTTTTAGGGATTGGATGGGTGCCTGTAGTGGTTTGTTTAGTGTGATCTGCTTGTTTGAGCATTGATTGGTGCTTATGCACTGTATGCTACCTAGTTAGTGACACCAAATTACCTCTCAGCAAAGGAAAAGATCTCTTGTATATACAAAATTACATCGTTATCAGTAAAAGGGAATTTTGACATCTCTTTGTATGGTCTTCTACCCAATAATCGAAGTACAAAAATATAATATGCAAGATTCTCATGCAAGCAGCTTTCTAATCAAAAGCGGATCATTGCATAGAAAACACAAATGGGAAAACCAAGATCGTGCTGCTTGTATACTGTTTCCACCACACCATCACACAACACTACTTACTATTGAGTAATTTAGTTCTAGCAGACTGATGAGGTCATCTTTCTGCTCACTTTGCTGTCTCCTACCATTATGTCCTTGTCTGCACATATACATGCATTACACCTGATTGGCTTTCATTCTTGCTCCTCCCAGTCTCAGTTCTGCTGTTTCCAGGATTGCAAGAGGCTGATAACAAAAATACATGTAAGGAGGATTTATAACTGAATGCAAAGCTACATTGATTTGTGTCTTTTATATCTGCCTGGAGTTTGGACTTAACATTTCCCGATGCTGTTCTCTTATGAATTTCTGTTTGTTTTCTTGTTTTTCTTAGGGCATTGTAGGCAATCTAGCAAGTGGGAAGTCGGCTTTGGTACATCGGTACCTGACGGGTACTTATGTTCAAGAAGAATCCCCAGAAGGTATGTGTAGCCTGTACACTTCACCCTCGTTTATGTTTTGTAGAGAATATGATATTTCTGTATAATAAGAAGTGATACATTTGTATCCACAAGAAACTTGCACGACCAGCTCATCTACACATTTTAAGCCCATGTCCATTGTCTTCCAAATGTATACCAAATGCTTTTTTGGCCTAAGATGAGACCAGGATACAGTATAGTATAATTAAGAAAATCATCTATCTGCTTTAAATACTGTATAACCTATTATGTTCTATTAAAATCCTAACAACACGTTTTCTTAATCGTGCACCTTTTCCTTGCCCTAGAACTATGCTGGTCAGAGTTTTTCAGTTAGATGTGGCTGTGTTTCCCTTTGTACAATAACAGAATGTCTCTAGTTTTTCCCTACTGTCTTGAGATTTATCTGCTCTGCCTGTCATGTAAGAGGTGTACCGGGAAGCTTTCAGCCTTTCTTATCTTGTATATGGTGCATCCTTGCCTGGTCTTTGACTGTCTAAGCTCCTTCTTTACCTCACTGCCTGTCCCGTTGGTTCTTTGCAGATATGGATGCAGGTAAATATACATTCTCTACAAGCTGAGGAGACAAAGAGAGGCGGCTGAGATATCTGACGTAGAGTTGACTCCTTTTCTGTGTTTCTTCATCTCTCTATTCTGTTTTTCCTTTGCATCTCTTAGTTTGGGTTACTCTCATCACACTCCCTGTGTTTTCCTGATGTTGCCCACTAGACTTTGTGTCATATAGAAGCATCATTTGTCTAATGTTACAAAGTGTACTTGGGAATGGTGTCTGAAGTTCTGAATCCTATCTCTACAAAGGAGAGGTCTTGGGGTAGGGCTGTGAATAAAGTTTAATGAGTATGGTCTGGATGTCTGCGTGTTACGAGCTGGTTTAGATGTATCCTGTAGTACTGAAATGCTACATTAGAATTGGTCGTGAGCAAGCTTCATCACTTTTCTAGCAGTAAGTTTGTGGATGTGCATGTCACTCGTTACACTTCTGGAGAGGTTCTTCCCAGCATCAGTATGTGTATCATTGTTGCAAACTTGAAGTGTTTCTTCAGCTGTGCGCAAATCTTATCTTTCTGTAGTAGCAATATCAGAACACTGATTCACCTATTTACTACATAGCCAGAGGTTTCATTTCTGTGTTGTCTCCGTTTGCTCTTTTCCTTTTTGTGTGACACAGTTTAGCCTCTTTAGCTTAGTCTTTGTCTGTCTATCACGGTTCCCTGCTTTCTATAATATTCTACCTTTGTTAGTGTCTGTGCATTCAATCCTAGACTTTTTAACCTCTTTCAAGCTTGTTGGTGTGTATTCTACGTAACAATGCTGTCACCTGTTGTCCCTGCCTGTCCCAGGCTGTCGCCCACTGTCCCAGGCTGTCGCCCACTGTCCCTGCCTGTCCCAGGCTGTCGCCCACTGTCCCTGCCTGTCCCAGGCTGTCGCCCACTGTCCCTGCCTGTCCCAGACTGTCGCCCACTGTCCCTGCCTGTCCCAGGCTGTCGCCCGTTGTCCCTGCCTGTCCCAGGCTGTCGCCCACTGTCCCTGCCTGTCTCAGGCTGCCGCCCGTTGTCACTACATTTTTCAGGCTGTCTCCTGTCTTGGTCTGTCTCCTGTCTTGGTCTGTCTCCTGTTGCCTCTGCCTGTGTCAAGCTGTCTGCTGTTGTGCCTGCCTGCCTGTCCCTGTCTCAGGCTGTTGCCTGTTGTGCCTGTCTATCCCTGCCAGGCTGTCTTCTGTCGTCCCTGCCTGTGTTAGGCCTCATTCACACTGCCGCGCGTGTACGTGCGTATTGTACCATATGCAAATAAATGCCTCCATACACATAGCCGCGTATGGAGCCGTATATTTGCGTAGCGTATATATGCGCAAAAACAGAATGGAACCGAGATGCGTCCGGGCAGCGTATTTCTGCGTATTTTATGCGAATACGCATGTTTGTGCGTATATGCGTACAGTTCATTAAAATTTCCATTAGGAATGATGCATTCTGGGAATGCAAATAGTGCACGCATATACGCATAGACACTCGTATATACGCAATATACAATTTTGCTTGCGTTGTGTGTGAATGAGGCCTTTAGCTGTCTCCTATTGTCCCTGGCTGATTTAGGTAATTTCTTTCTATTGCACCCCATTTCTTTTTCTTTTGCTCTTACCTTTGCACTTTAACCTCAGTCCATTTCATGCTATCTTTTTGTTTTGTCTTTCCAGTCTATATCTGCATGTTCTAGGCTTTGACTTGCTGTCTACCCTACTTTTATGTTTGTATGTTACCGTTATGTCTCTGGCTCATCACAATGACATTTTCATTCCAAGTATATCTTCCTGGCTACCTTAGCATTATCTTGGTTGTCTTAACAATGTAGAGGCGTAGAGAGTGTATAGCGTTAAACTGTGTGCATTATATGTATGTATGTATTTTATTTTTATGTATATGTATGCCAATGATGGTTCTCCCCTTGGGACCAATGATATGTGCTACATTTAGTTAATGTCTGCATCTGAGTTTGTATTGGTCGTATATGGTACCACTGAGAATGAGAGGTAATTGGTCCTCTTTTAATTAGATCCAGCTTTTATATACTGTATAGACAGATATTTTGAGTGTCAGTGTAAGTCTTAGCAGTTGGGATATATTCTCAATATCTTGATTCTTCTGTTCAGTTTCGGCTTCATGTAAGGTAATGGCACCCTGCAGCTGGGGAGATGTCCTTTTTGTTATTCTCTCTTGCAAGAGGTGGCAGCTCTTCTGTAAAGAACTGCTATTTCTCAAGAGATTAGTAAGGGTTACGGCATCCTTTCAGCCAGCTCCATGTCACCTTTTCTGACAGCATTGCTGCTGTGGGGACCAGTGAGAGAAAGTGGGCTGTAAAGCTAGAGGAAGCCCTCTCTGTCACTAGGGAAGTGTATGTCTAGAGAAGCCTACTGGAGATCTTTTATCAAACCTTTAAAATACAGCAGTAGAATTCTTGCGGTCACTGCTCGGCTGTTTGGAACACCACTAAGTACCTGTACATTAGTTTAATGAGGTGTTGCTGCTTCTGCTTGAAACAAGTAACCTTTGCTGTTGAATCGTACATATATTGAAGGTTATTGAGTAATGTTTCTCAAGCAATGTGTTTATTAAGCAGCTTGAATGATAGACCTCTGTTAGTCCGTTTTTAGAATGTTTGGAAGACATGCACAACAGCCCATTCACTTACTCTACATTTCATACATGTCTGCCTCCTGATGGCACAGAATTGAATTTAAAACCTGCCACATCCTGGCTTGTAGCAAAACAGTGAAAGGAAGAACCTACATGTTTTTATAGCATTGGAGCAATGCTTTGCTGTTCTGGTCTTTAGGCCATTGAACCCGTAGAAGCAGGAGATGGGTTTCTTTGCCCACTGTAGCAATCCTGTCACTAGCAAGTTGCCACCAGCAATAGGATTACTGGTGTGCCATAGGCCTTACAGTCAAGGTGCAGTTGTCTATTGCCTACTGTGATCTGTTTTCTATGAGATAGTCCTTGTGGCTTTTATTTCCCCTCAGTTCCAAAAGGTTCATTTTTATATCTGAGCACCATAATGATGTGTTCTAAGCTGTCTACTACTTAGGCAGCATCTAAAAGAGACATGAGGAGGCAATGACTTCCTGAAACTACTGATTTTCCCTCTATATATCATCCATATTGCAGTCCCTAATATTTAAAACTGGAATCAATTCAGATTTAAGGTCCACTGTACACCAGAACTTAAAGGGGTTCTAAACCCTCCCGTGTGTTTGCCTATATCTACTGCTATCAAGCAGTAGATATAGGCAAACCGTTTTAAAAAAACCCGCTAAAACAGCGTTTTAAACTTACCTTTTTTTCTTTGCGCGTTCCCGCCCGAGAAAACGAAACTGTTCGGGCGGCCGCAAATGCATTTGGGGCTTGCGCATTCACAGTTCGGATTCTCGGCCGGGAGACGAGCAGAGACGCAAGGTAAGTGTATGGACGCGTGCACCCGCATGCAAACACCGCTGGATCAGAGAGACAGAGCAGTCAGCGCTGGATCGGAGAGCCGCCGCACCGCTGGAGGGACAGATGAAAACATGGGGAAAGAAAAAGAAGATCGGAATAAGAGACATCATTTAAGGTAAGTGCTAACATTAACATGGGGGGGGGGAGGGAATTTTTTTTTAACTTTATTGTCACTTTAAGAGTGGGAGAGAGAAAAGGCAGCACAAGGAGCAAGTCACTTGTGTTGATCCCGATAGCGGGGGAAAAAGGAGAGTGACAGATTGAATAGCTCACTACTGCATATCTTTTCATTCACTGTCTAGTCCTAGGCTCATGGTCATATTGTGACCTGGCCTAGACTCAGGGGAAGTGGGTTGAATGATGCTGGCTGTCATTCAGTTTGAGAGACTGAGGACATCTAGTGGTAATAAAGAAGTCCTTTGGTGTATAGCTCCAGGCTGATGAATAATATTACAACAAAAGCTGCTTTTTAGTTTATCTTTAAATGGGTTATTATTTATTTGGGAGTTCTGTTGTAATGACGTGTCCCCTCATTACAGTTTCCCCTTTCTTCGTCAGTGTCTGGTGCCAGCTCTGCTCCTACTACACTAATGATCCATTCCTTGTGAGATGGAGACACAGATGTGGGATGATACTTACTGAAAGATTTTTTTTTTTTTAAATAATCTTTATTTTCTTTTTTAAAGTTGTAGTACAAAAATACAGGAAAAAAATAGAGCACATAATTAACAAAGGCCTGTTCGGCCTAGTGTCTTAATGCAATTCAGGATAGCAATTCACAAGCACCTTGTATATTACTGAAAAGTTTAGGAAAGCACCAAGATGAAGAGGAAGGCAATTATCTTATACTTACATGTGGAAAATCCAGATTTATTTTAACTACTTTTAAAATAAATTGGCTGGTTTGCATCACTGACCTCTGAAGCACTAAACTGAATGCTTATCTCTAGAACTCTTGAAGTTTTTATAGTCCTGCCACTTATTTGCACACAGCTTTCTAAGCCCTGTTGTGAAGCGGGACTGTTTCAATCTTTGAGACGTGTTGGCTGTTATACCTTGTGTTCTCCCAATCATGGATTAACAAATACATTTTTTGGACTCTCCAATTATTGGTGTTGCACTTCCATTTGCTTTTCTCAACTTCAGGTTTTTCTATTACTTTTTAACACTTTTTTTTTCTTTCAATACTTCACTCCCAAGTTATATTTTCGGCCCAGCCCAAATTTTGTTGGTTGCTATGGATGACTCTTGACACTCCTTTGTTAGCTGCTGGAATCCCTGACATGAATGTAAATGGCAGTCCAGCATAACTAGCACTGTGCATGTTTCAGACACCTCAGGGGAGTGAAGCTACACATGCAATTTAACCTATTCGCACAACTGAGTCAGAGAAAATTGTAAGTGTAGTACCTACATCCGTATCATTTAAAATGGAAAGATTCCTTTTTATTGGCTTTCTTTTTATTTTTTAGCATGCAAAAGCTGTCCCATGTCTGTGTAACCCTCGTATGACATTGAGGTTCTCTTATAGACTGAACAGTCCCTCTAGGAAAATATTAAAACCGGACAAGATGCTGTCTGCTTTCAAAATTGATATTGCATTGCTAAATGTGTTGTTCTATTGAGCTATACAGCTAAGTACAGTTTCCATGCACTTCCCACTGTTTAGTGCCACCCCCCCTGTAATGGGCAAGCAACCTGTGAGCTTGTATGTATGAGATCTATCCAAGGTGGCACTTCTGAATCTGTCTTCAGAATGCTTCTATAGACACATCTTTCCTTCTGTTTAAACTTGCATCATGACAGCTAGTTTAAACAAAGTTTGAATATCTTGAATAAGCAACAATAGATTCTTACAAGGAAGCTATCATGAGAGAAATATGGGAACAGCCCTTGTTAGGGGGAGTTCTTGCCATAATTTAGAGAAGACACTTCAGACCGTGCGTTTACAGCTGAATACTGTCCTATTGGTTCATCCCTACGTTAGGCTCTCCTACTGGCCAATAGAAATGTGCAGGAGGCAGGAAGGGGTGGGCAAAAGTATGCGCACTGTAAGGAAGTGCTGAAGCTTCACCTGTCAGAACAGCCTGGCATTCATCTGCAAAAGTAGGGTCTTGGAGTCTTCTGAACGTATATACAGACACCTCTAGCTGCCTGCGCTTTATACTTGCAACAGTTTGATTTTTTTGGACAAATTCCATTTACCTTCTTTTGCAATTAGAGGCAGTTAGGAATCAATCATTATCCCTGGATGCATTGATTGTGCATCCAGGGAGAGTGATTGTTTTCTAACTGCCTCTAATTGTATCACATACCAATACATGAGGTGTACATGTACACTTAAAATAATATACTCTCCTATCCCCACCCGCACACATAAATTAATACGCTCCCCCTCCCCCCGTGAGCCCCCTCACCTGCTTACATCTTTGCAGGGAAGGAGGCACAATCCCTGGTGATCCAGTGGTTTATTACTGAGGTCTGGTGCAGACCTTACTAATCCATCCATATGGCCAGCGATCAGTGAATACTGTCAGAACGCTGGCCGAAAGGATCTGAGTGCCAGCAACAACAGGAGCAGCTATGCGGGCTGCATCCGACACAGATGGAGACCGTGTAGCTGCTCCCGCAAGTCAGGTAACGCCGCTTGTGACCGTGTGCTTGACTTGTCAACTGGCTGCAGTCTACACAGTACCGATTTGCGGCCCGGAGTTGGCTCACTGGCCAGTACTTTGAGACCCCTGGTTTACACCAACTCAACCAACCAGCTATGTTGATATGCTTTGGAGAAAAAAAAAAGTAGGACATTTTGAATTTTTGTGCAGCGCATGCTGACGTGAGTAACACATCACAATGTATAAGAATTACATAGAAGTTTTATTTTAAAAAAGCAAGCACTGCAATATGTTTTAGAAATGAATTGCAGCGGACATCAGTGTGCATTTACACCGCACAGCAGCATGCACTTGTTATGTACACAATGACGCAAGCTGTGTGTTGTGAATGAGCCCTTATTGATCTTAATTTTGATAAGCTGCTGTTAGTGACTTGATGTTGCTTTTTATCATTCCCCTTTGTGCCTCTGGCCACCCTCCTATCCAATTTAGCTTAGTTGTTTTTCCTTGTGCCTGTTGGCTCTCTGTTTCCTGTTTTTTTGTGGACAATGAAAGCTGGCCTATAGGATTTGGCATTCCATTCTGCAGCTGTGACATGCCTTCTGTGTAGGTGGCTACAGCAGGGTCTCTCCCACACAAGATCCACCATGGAGGGAATTTCCAAAATTATGCACATTTTCCATGTACAGGGCTCAATTGCACCCACAGGAATATACTTTTTTAGCAGCGCATTGTAGCTGCTGGAGTATAATGCAGTCCAGAAGGTCCAGTGTTCTTTCTAAATTAAGATATCTAAAGCATATGTTTTGTACAGCCATGCAGCTAGTCGGATATAGCCAGCACTAGATCCATAATATGTCTATATATCCTTTCTCTTTGTAAACACAAATACTTCTCTGGTGAGAGAATAAATAGAAATTTGTGGACAAACATAATTGCCAACATTTTAAAATCACTTTCATGAATAATTTGTTGGTGAGCTGCACATTCTCAGAGTACTGCTAAATGCTCTATAAGATTGACAAAGTTATTGTATTAAATACATTTTTTTCCTATTTAAAATGATTTAAATAAACAATTTACAGAATACATTATTAAATAGTAAGAATTGAACTCAGGGGCATATTTTTCTGCCCGGAAACGTTAATCTTATTGATAAAGCACATTTGTCAAGTGGGAAATCATTCATTGAGTTTTACCAACATCTATTTTTCAGTGGACAAAGGTACTTCTTGTAGCATTTGTCCATGTGTGACCCGCAGCCTTCAGTTAGGTAAATCAGCATTCTGAGTCTGTGTAAAGGTGCAAAAGAATTTTGGCAAGCCATCCTACCATGATATGCATCAGGGCATATGTGGATAGCTTTAACCTTTTCATCTGCTATTATTATTCACGCTTAAAGTAGAACTGCGGCCAGGCTAAAAATATTCAAATATTTACACATTCTTAATAAGCAGGAAATAAGCTTTAAAATAAATATTCACTAATCTACATAGCTTCAGATGCTGTGGAGCTATTCACCCTCAAAAGGCACAAGCGAAGCAGTGAAGTTGTTAGAGTTGGGCCCTAGCACTCTGCGGTATACTTTGAGGATGTAATAACTGAAGAAATCAGTTAGTGTTTGTCTTTAAGCTTATTTACTGCTTATAATTTATAAATATTTGATTGTCCATAGCTTTAATAACAAGCTTTTGTAATTATTCAATATTATTTATTTTATAATAATAATGATTGCAGACACCATTCACTATAAAGTAACTGGGATCGCAAGGAGTGTGTATTTTATTCTTTTCATATGTGTAGTGGAAGATAGGGTATGGTAATATCATTAGGCTTTTACATGTAGCCCCCTGCGTTTCTTTGTGTTGTCCTCAGGTGAGGCCCGTTTGTTGGGGTATATGGGTGGGTTTGTTGTACTGTTGTGCCATCTTCTCATTCATCAAGATTCACATTGTCCTGTGGTGACTTTTTCATCCTGTGTTACACCATGTGTTATATGAGTCGCCTGTTCAGAGCAGTGCTGCAGAGTCAAACATTGTTTTTTGGTATAAACCACACTACCATTTGGCATTTTACTAAATATCAGGGGTCTGGCGAACCATTTATGAAATGCAGCTCTGCCCTGCTTGTGGGGCTCTGGCACAGTTTATTCATTTATATTGTAGAATACTAACCACATGGATATTGTTTGTGAAAGGATATCCTGCTACAGGAGAGCACATCTGGTGAGCTACTGTATGGCCCTAGTGTATACAGAGCTTTTGCAGCTTCCAGGGCCATTCATAGAATGGAGAGCAAGGCTTTAACGATCCATGTATAAATGATGCCCAATAAGCACACTCAGCCAGCGCCACCAAAAAGAAAATCTGCAATAAAGAAATGCCTTCAGAAAACTGGCAGAGATCTGCATTGCATTAATTGCCCATAGAAAACAAAAGCGGAGTTAAAAGATCAGTATACAATAACAAAAGGCTGTATTACATTAAAGAGCTGCTGATAGTATTCACAGTTCTGTATGTAAAAGTACCAACCTCTGTAGGCACCAAAAATGACACTTGGTAGATATCTTATATGACATTGGGCAGGAAATACTTTCCCCCAAGTATACCGTCTTCATTTTCTTAAACTTCCGAAATGTTAGTCATTCATTGGAAACATTTTACATGAATTAGTTTATTTAGTGGTCCTTTAACTAAAGGTGAATGGAGGTGTCCGTGCCAAGTGCCATTCTGGCCTACATGTTACTTGTCCTCACCATGTGTTTGGCCAGCTCCTGTGCATGAAAGTCTTTTACAAGCAAGATCCAGTTTCCTTCTGTCTCTCCTTCCATCCATACATTCCCCTATAAGCTTGACGGTTTGTGACACTGACTAACATTAATGTCTGTGACAGGTGGGAGATTCAAGAAGGAGATTGTAGTTGATGGACAGAGCTACCTCCTACTCATCCGTGATGAAGGTGGACCGCCCGAAGCACAAGTAAGATGTCTCCACGTCAAGTGAACTTTCATGCTTGTTTTTCCTCACTACTGCTAAACACATCTGGCTCATAAACAAAAAATTTTTTACCTGATTGAAAATCTAGTGCCATAGCTTACCTGACCAGGGCTTTTGTTTTTGGTCCTGGCAATTCTTTAGTATATCAGGCAACCTACCTGACTGAAAGCCTGATGGTCTGGAAATGAGTGATCCTGAGCCTGCACTTCTGGTGGCTGCCCAATAGAGTCTCTGTGCTGCCTAATTTTGCACATCCTTGATCATTTGTAAAGAAACCGTTTATACGCATTCTGCCCCCACTGCTGCCTATAGGAAACATTCAATTCAGTGATAGATATTTGTGAGAGATAAAGGTTTTTCAACACAGAATAATATCCATAGCTTGGTCGAAGATGGTGCTGAAGTGCTGCTTAAAGACACTGTAAAACATTCTTATTCTATTTAGTTTTGATGAAAACTTATATTTGTAGATTGTCATTATTTATAGTCGATAAATACTTATTTGGGTAGTTATCCCGACACGGGTTTGTCTTATAAGATTTTGGGTTTAAAAAGAATATTATCAAGATGTTAAATGGCTGACCTTCACGTTTAGATGCACAGCTACGTTAAAGGGGCGCTTCAGTTTTATTTAAACTGCCACTGCAATGTTTTTTCTCCTTATTGGGAAGGGATTGAAATCTATATTCCATGGTTTTATTGCTGGCTGAGGTTTATTGTAAGAGATTTACCCTCACTTCCTGTACGGGTGACAACATTGTAACCTGGACAGAAAGCAAGGGGAAATCTATGGTATAGATGGAGACAGCAATAAAAAGGTGATGGGAGTTCTAACCGTCCCCTACTCTAAAGAAAACGACATTGCTGTCTATTGCCCTGCTGGAAATATTTCCCCTAACTTCCTGTTCTAGTAACAATGTTGCTAGCAGAACAGGAAGTGAGAGGAAATCATCCGAATCAGAGCAGTAAAAACTGACCAATTCTAACACTTCCACACAATTAAAAGAAAAAAAATTGGCAGCAATACATTTTAAACCTTTAATGTTTACAATGCTTGATTATTTACAAGTTTATAAACTGACCTTTTGTCACTATTTTTGCCACCTTTAAAAAAACCTTCACTTCACTTCATAAATAATTAACTGCAAGTTGCTTCTATGACGCTGTGTTTTCAGAGCACTCTGTGATTTCTAACAGAACAGTCCAGTAGTAGCTGCTCTGTCTCTAAATGTGACTCCACTTGCAGAAAGCAGATCCTAGAACTCTACTTGCTGATTGCATATAGTAAATATGAAATATATAGAACCAGTTCAGGGGTTAGGTTCCAATGAAGGCTTTGGTTTTAGTATTAATCAAGAATAGTGGGTAGGTTTAGGGTATGAATTAATGTTGTGACAGACTTGTATGGGAGACAAAAGCTCCACCATGTACAAATTTTTAGCGCAGAAAACAAAACTTTGTGTTTTGGGGCATTTAATTAAATTTGTCACTAAATTTTGGGGTTTAATAAGGAGTTGCGCTAATATTGCGCAACATAAAAATTTTCAACTACCACCATTTTATTCTATAGGGTCTTGGCATTCAGAAAATATATAATGTTGGGGGGTTTTACGTCATTTTCAGGCCTAAAATGTGGAATATAACATGGGTGCAAAAATGGAAAAAAGGGCCTCAGTCATGAAGGGGTTAAACAGTGTATGGCTCAAAAATCCACAGAGGAATCTTTAGGGGACATAGACTGCAGAATTTGATAGCACAGCCGCATAATTTCCTGAATAGCATCATCAATTCAATAATTTCCCTTCTTTCTTGGATTGGTCCTTTATGTGTGATTCATATTCCTTATTATAAATGGATTTAGACCTAGCACATTTATCTTCTTCCTTATCTTCTTCTTCTCAGGGCCATATGTACGCACCTCATGTTCTAGTCTTATTTCTAATTTTATTTTGCTCTGGATAATGTTTTATTTTCTTTAGTTTGCTATGTGGGTGGATGCTGTGATCTTTGTCTTCAGCCTGGAGGATGAGATCAGTTTCCAGACAGTCTATCACTACTACAGCCGCCTTGCCAACTACCGCAACACCAATGAGATCCCCATGGTCCTGGTGGGAACTCAGGGTGAGTAAAACCAGCACCCACAAATCAGCTGTTTATCTGTGCAATGCTCTGTGCTTGATTTCCAAATGTGTGCACATAGCCCCCTCTACTGGACATACATCTAACTACATTACAATCTGTGTTTGCAAACTGATTAAAGTGTATGTACAGCTGAATTGGGATAACACCTCTTTTATATGTGGTATGTGTTCCCATTCACATAGCACAGCTTCAAAAATGGTTGCTCACCATTGTACTTGCTCTTTTATTTAAAACTACAAAAATATTTTTTTGTCCATTGTGTGTAATTGATAAGGAAGGGTCTTGAGTAGGGTGGGCAGAGTGGTCTGCACCATAATTAACCCTGTCTATAATGTGCTGGCAGATCAGTTGGAAACTAGGTGGGACCACCCTCTGCCCTAATGAAGGGTTAAAGGTAGAAAAGTTTGGCTTGTTCATGATTATATTATTATTATAATACAGGATTTATATAGCGCCAACAGTTTGCGCATCACTTTACAAAATGGATTGTATGTTAATCAGAGGTCTGGTTCAAGAAAGAACAGAGAGACTAGTGTAACTTATATAACCACTCTTTACAACTGTGGCGAACAGAAAGGTTCTCAGGTGCGTTAAAGGAGAACTATGGGGTTAGGGCTTTTCCCCATAGTTCTTCTTCGGGTAACGGGATGACACAAACTAGCGTCCTCCCGTCACCCTAAGCTCAGTATACCGCAAGCTACAACTCGCGGTATACTGCGACGCCACAGCTGAAGTGGATCCCGACAATTATGTCTGGATCCGCCCAGCTGTGTGAGTGACAGCTGGCTCTGCCTATCTAGAGGCAGAGCCAGCTGTACCCGGCCCCCTTCCCCGTCCGTTCCGCCAGTCAGTGCTGGAGGATCGGAGCGGGGAGGGGGGAATCCAGCCCCTCCCCTGTCACGGCAGAGGGCCGTGACAGAATCGAGAAGTGAGCGAACGCAGGTATGTGTTCGCTCACTTCCCGATCTACTGAGCCGACCTGTGACAGTCTCATTGTCACAGGTCGGCTAGAACTATGAGGTGAGGGAAAAGCACTCACCTCATAGTTCTCCTTTAAACATTGAGGTTGACAGGCTACAATAGCGAAAGACCACATGGAGTTTCACTCCTGTCAGCCAAGAACAAAAAGCTGAGGCTGCAGTGGGCACAAGCTTACCAACACTGGACAGCTAATGACTGGAAAAATTTAACCTGGTTTGATGAATCTTGATTTTTGCTGAGACACACAGATTGTTGGTCAGTCACTGCATCAGAATGCAAAAGAACACCTTTGGGATCAGGTACAAGGGGAGATTTGCAGCAGGTTTAGCGTACAAATCTGCAGAATGTGCATGATGTGAACATGTGGAATCCATGCCACAAAAAATTGAGAGCCAAAGAAAGGTAATCCCTTTCCAATATCTGTGTAGACTTTATTATACATTTCTCTATAAATGTGTATATTTACATGTATTGCCCATAAGGGATTTTTGATTTTGAGCAGCACTTTTTGTGATACACATGCCTCTGTATTAAGATCATCCTGCTGTTTTCTGGTTTAACATTACTGCTTCCTGGGTTAGAGTTACTGTTTCTGAATTCAGCTCCCTGCTCATTGGCTGAAGGTGAAAGTGCTGATGGGAAAGTGGATAGGTAACATAGATGGCTGTATTACTGAGCCAGGAAGATGAACTGGTTAATCAGAAACTGCACTAAACGTGTTACTTGTGCTGTGGGGGAAATGTGTGTAACTCACTGGCTGTACAGAATACTTTGACATGCAGCACAGTACACATTTATTTTAACTATGCATTTTAGTGATGCCCAACAGGCAGCCTACTGGCTCTCTATGAGCAGTCCACTCACTGTGTGCCTGTGCGCCCTAGAGTCTGTGCTCCCTCCCTTTAGGTTGTCATACTGCACATGCCATTTTTCAGAGCGCGTGCAAAACTTCTTAGCCTTGCTGACATGTCAGCGGTCCTGTAGGTATAGGCAGCTTCTGATCAACTAACAGTTCCAGGGTAGTTTGTTGTGTTCCTCCAAAAAAAAAAAAAAAACTGACACTGATAGCCTGAAACACTGTCCCCTGGATAACTGTTGCATCACTCTTCAAAGTCTGCCTTTGCACCTTCAGTAGTGACTCCCCAACTTTGTATTATCCAGGGAGACATTATCTGCTTTAATGTCTGAGTTTATGGGGAAAATTTCAGCCACGTTAGCGGACTCAATACACAAAGGACTCCGGTACATTCAGCTGAGGATAAAGAAGAATGTACCTTATCCTTGTTTAATGAATTGTTACATGAAGATTCTCAGTCTGCTGACATAACTCCAAAAGTTAAGGATAACATGTCTGTCCTTCCATGCATGTAACTGGCCTAATCCTTTAAAAAATCTTTACTCCTCCCAGGCACATTGCCCCAATATTTTTTTCAGGAGGGGCTCCATAAAGGTGGGCTGTACCCATAAAGAATCACACCATTTCAATTCTTAAAGGAGAACTATGGGGTTAAGGCTTTTCCCCATAGTTCTCCTTAGGGTAGCGGGAGGACACAAACTAGCGTCCTCCCGTCACCCTAGGCTCAGTATACCGCGAGCTACAGCTATACTGAGACGCCGCAGTATACCGCGAGCTGCTACTCGCGGTATACTGATACGTCGAAGCTGAAGTGGATCCTGACAATTGTGTCGGGATCCGCCCAGCTGCGTGACTGACAGCTGGCTCTGCCTATCTAGAGGCAGAGCCAGCTGTACCCGCCTCCTCCGTCCGTTCCGCCTGTCAGCGCTGGCGGAGCAGGGAGGGGGGAATCCAGCCACTCCCCTGTCACGGCACAGAGCCGTGACAGGATCGAGAGGTGAGCGAACGCCGGTATGTGTTCGCTCACCTCCCGATCTAATGAGTCATCCTGTGACAGTCTCATTGTCACAGGTCGGCTAGAACTATGAGGTGAGTGAAAAGCACTCACCTCATAGTTCTCCTTTAATAAGACTTTGTTCCTGTAGAGGATCCTCAGACCCTGTAAATGAAGAGCTAAAAGCTCATTCCAAAGTACAATATGAATTGGAGTGAATACATGGAGAGTTAGGACGCAATTGGTTTTATATTTTGGCCTAGGATGTCTTTGATCTAGGTTGTATTCAATGAATTTGTAAACCTGTTTTTATATTTGATATATGTAGAATAAATACTTTTTATACTAATAGAAATAAGCGTTGGTGTCATACCTCTCACCAAAACTCAATTTTTTTGTTTTCTGTATTGCTTTAAATTGGTATAACCTAAAGGGGGAGAGGTCACACCGGGGGACCATTGAGGTAACCTTTCACAATTGTATTTCTATTACTTTAACATATTTCTACTGGGCACATTGGACACTGTAGTGAACAGTTGGTGCTGGGCAATATGAGAGTCCATGCATGAACCCTTAGTTTGTACAAGGTTTTCTTAGTTTTTTTATTTTATATTTCCAGATGCCATCAGTTGCACTAACCCCCGTGTAATAGATGATTCCCGTGCACGAAAGCTTTCCAATGACCTCAAGCGATGCACTTACTATGAAACTTGTGCCACCTATGGGCTTAATGTGGAACGTGTCTTCCAGGATGGTGAGTTACAATTGACTTAAATGTGCTGTTGCAAAGGTAAAGGGATTAATTGGTGGTAAATGACTATCTATGGATTTGTGAAATGAGAAAAAAACCTTATTGAATAGTTTTGTGACTGTTCGGTTTTAATTTCACAAAGGTTGCTTTGATGGGAAATGATCTTTGCTGTACTGTGTTTCTAATCCATTCCTGTGTACTAAGGAAATATATTGCTCCAATCAAGGTTTCTCTGGATGCTTTATTTAATGCTACTGGAGCAGGAAGATAGAGCTGCAGCCCATAGCAACAGATGACATCTTTCATGGATCTGCTATTCCCCTTGATGTTATTGTGCTTACAAGTCTACACATTAGTAATCCAATGCCTCCCTCTAGTGGCAGTTAAACAGATGTTTCCTGTGATAATAGGAATGCCTATAAGTGACACTAAACTCAGGAGTTAAACCTTAAAAATGCATACTGGAGTACCTGAGCTATTAACAAAAATTATCATAAATGCTGCCGTCAGACTCATCCACCTTACCAACCGTTCAGTGTCTGCCGATTTATTTTATTTTATACGGAGTGTAGAAGAGAGGTAACCTCTGTCAAGTGGAATGGAAAAAGGTTGGGCTTCAAAGTTTTTTGCTACCTGGGTGTGCTGACAAAGGGGCAGCTGGCTTACGTCCCTTCTTTTTTTATTAAGACAGGGAGGCCTTAGAAAGTATGTTTTATTGCTACTCATACCTAATCAATACAGTAGGGTAAGGTTACTATTCGCAGCACCTTTATACCTGATTTACTCATGTCATTGGCCAATGTAAAAACTTTACTAACTCACTTTCTAACAGTTTGTGGTAAACAGTTGCATCCCTGGTGAGCCATCATGGCTGCTGAATCCCCGTTTCTTCTAACTGTGCATTGGTGTTGGTGTACTGTGGGACACTGAATTTTGAGTGCCCCCAGGGCAAGAGCCACCTACTTTCCATTGTCAGCCCCATACATTATGCATAGTTATTCTGGAGAGCAAACATCTTTCTTTCATGTGCAATGTATAAAGACTAAAGACAAACAGCCCTCTATGATTAGGAGATACCCCCAGGCCAGGCAGCATTAATCATGGAAAAGTATTAAACAATGGGTGTGTGTGTGTATGTCTGTATATGTATATA